CCTGTACAGCCTATAGCCCCTAATGTTAACTGCCCAGTGTCAGTGTATCATCTAGCAGCCTGACCTATATTGAGCCAAAGGCAGTGCCATAATGAGCATGATGGTGAGGAGGATGACATTAGTAGTAGTAGTACTATTATATAATAGTAATAATAGGATAACCATATTCTGTGTGCTCATTGGTCAGTTTTTCCTTAGTCCTAATTTACAGTTGAATTTTCATGTGGGTGAAACTCAGGTGCATGCCAAGAGGCAGCAGCTCAGGAGGGAAACCTGTGTGGTCCCTAAGCCACAGGTCGGTGTCCTTCAAGAACAGCTCTGACGCGTTTCCATTGTGTCTTGTATGAATGTCTTCTACACTCCCCCATCCCACTGAGTGTTGTTCCTTTAGCCAGGGTCTGGGCATATTCCACGGGCACCTTCCCTGCTGGTGTCTCCACTGCTGTCCGCCCCGGGCTGTGGCTGTGACATGGAAAGCATTTCCAGAAAGCTGATGCCAGGGAAGCAGTAGTGCTCTGCCTCTGAGCAGGGTAGAGGGAAGAGCTCTGCCAACAAGAAGACGGATTTGGTGTTTTGTTAAACACCCCAGTGCCTGTTTCTGAACAGTAGTACCAGCTAGGTGGGTGGTCTGTCTGGATGGGGGTAGGGGGGAGGCAGAATTGTGCTTTCCCCCAGTCTGGGAGCAGAACATGGATTAGAGACAAAGCATTTGTTTTGAGCACTGAATTTTAGAATCGCAGAGACACGGGCCTGCCCTCGCTGTTATACATCATGCAGGAACCTGCTTTCCCTCCATCGGCCTGTTCTGTGCCATACCTTTTGATGTGCACGTTCCCTTGGACTCCGTCACCATCATTCCAACCATGTATTTGCTTGCTTAATCCTCTTTAAAGCCACACACGCTCCAAGAAATAACCTACGCAGTTAAATAAGGAGCCAAGGAAGGAGCAGCCTTAAGTTAGTCTCAAACGTGTGTTCTGTTCCTATTGCAGATGCAGCTGCTGGACAAGTTCCCCATCGAAGGAGGCCAGAAGGACCCTAAACAGAGAATCATCCCCTTTCTACCAGGTAACACTTGGCTGGTGGTCTTGAATAAGAAGGTGAAAGGCAACACAGAGTGCACTATATGACAAGTGATGCTAAGGTGGCCCAGCCTCTCTGGTGGCTAGAGAGTTAGGGGGAACTACAGGATCTGTCTGTGGTTAATAGTCTTATTAACTATTCCCCTTATCTGTGTTACAAATGAGGCCTGCCATTTTTCTGTCACAAGCTACTGCAGGGAAGGGGATGGGATGACTGTACATACTAGGTGAAGGAATATGTTATGGTGGTTAAAGGGGATGAGTACAACAGTATTCTTTGGGGGCTTAAAGAAAAAAGCAAAGAAGATATTAGGAAGGCTAAAGTTAGCAGGACACTGCAAGCTAATGTAAGGTTCACTGGGCACTAGAGTTTGGTCCTGATGTTTGGTGTAGAGTAGGTAGATTTGAATGTTGGGCAGTTTTCTGCCTGGTAATGAGGATTCTGCCTCTGGAAATCACTAACCTCAACAAAGGTGTCAGAGCCAGAGGGTGAAGCTGCCGTATGGGATGAGGTCAGGGCAAATCCAAACCAGAGTACACGCATGGACCAAACACCAGGTGCTTGCCTGCTCATGTTTCCATGTGAGGCCTAGTTCAGCCTTCCGGCATGCCCATGCAGCTCCCACTGAGGTCCAGACTGTTCTTTGTCTGTGACACAAGGCAGAGTTGGGCCTGCTGTGGCCAAAGACATGTGGAGGTGACATTTCCTACTGCTCTCAGGAGAACTTGGAAAAGACGAGGGGACCTGAGAGAACAGGGCTTCTGCATCCACCTCTGCCCTCAGTTCATGCTATCTCCCCCTTGCTTCACCCACAAAACCCCACTCCACGTGCTTCCTTCTCCTGCTTTACCATCCAGTCTCCCCCATGCCTCCTGTTGCACTCAGGGCTCATCCTTGCTTGATCCTTGCTTCCACCAAGCTCCCAAACACCAACCCATCATACTTAGGCCTCCATGTGCAGTAATTAGCCCCAGCTTCATCATGGTGGTGTCTGTTTAGGACCAAGTTTGAATGTCCTTATTCAGGTTGGGCAGCATCCATGAGATGCTTCATTTCAATTCAGTGGGGCTCTTGGCAGTGAAGAACGGTTTGACAAGAGTCAGGACACCAGGCTCCATAGGGCAAGGCACCTTGTCGTCTTTGTTAGCCTATATGGTTTGGAGGACACTTATCAAAGGGTGAGTAATTACTGTTCTCATGCCTCCCTAAGAGAGAAGGGAGTTGATATGAGATCATAGAGAAGTAGGGCTGGAAGGGATCTTTAGAGGTCATCTAATCCAACCCCTTCCCTGAGGCAGGATTATCCCTATCCAAAGCATCCTATACACATCTGTTGTCTATCCTACTAGCAAAACTACACAGTCAGCCCTGACAGCCACAAGACTTAACACCCTCCCTTGCCACAGGTAAAGCAAGGGGACAGTGGTGGCCAGTGTCCTGATGTGATGACCGGGGTGTAGTGATTTGTGTGATGCTGAGTAAAACAATCTAATAAACATCCTTTCAGCCCATATTTTATACAGCTTCTTCCACCAGAGGTCACAGGGGAAGGAGGAGGGTGGCACTGGGAAGACCAGATCCAGAGCATGGCTTGCCATTGCAAAGCTCATTTGAAACCAGCTTTCCGATGTTTCATGTGCTGAGTTTGGCCATTGTTTGGAAGTTTGGCTCGCTGCACTGACTTGCAGAAGTGCTGTTGTTTTTTAAACCTATTAAAAGGCTCTCTTTGCCTTGAGTCATAGAGATGGGCTCCCACCTATTCCCACTGGGGACCATAAAGCAAAGCTAAATCAGAACTGTTATGGGAGGGATGAGATCTATCTAGGAACACATGGTCATCACGGTCATGTTTCTGAGGCCGGGCAGCTGCTGCAGATGTGCAGTGAGAACAGCTGTGTGGTTGCCAGGGAAGCAGGGACCTGGAACAGCTCAGTGTAAATGCATCACGTGAGCACTGAAGCCACTGTCTGACATCACAGACCATCCAGCAGACTCCACAGCCCTTCAGAAAAGCTGCTGTGCTTTCAAGCTGTGTCCAGTTTCCTCCCTCCGTAAAAGGCCTATTTCCTTTGCCTGCAAGGGACTCTCATGGCCTGTGGGCCACCAGTTGCACAGCCCTGGTCTAGAGCGCAAGATGGAGGCGTTCAGGGGAAATCTTGGTTCTGCACCACTGACTCACTGTGTGCCCTTGGGCTAGGAACTCGGAGTCCCTGTACCTGCATTTCCCCTGGGGTCAGATTGGGATAATAACGCTTCCTACCCACCTAGTGTAGGGATCTGCCAGGAAGGAGAGTACAGATGGGCAAGTTGGTGCTGCTTATGACACAGAGGTTCATATCCACCCCTGCAGATTGCAGTCCATCATCCGGGAGCTGCAGGCATCAGCCAGTTTATTTTGCTTTACACTCAGACACTCCACAGAGGATGTCCGTTGGTAATTCCCCAAATCTTCTTGCACTCAGGTGGTGTGTGCAATGCTGAGGAGCAATTGCAGAGGATTATGGACCACCTTGCCTGCCAGTGCAACAGCATTACCTCTCCCACCCTCAGTAAACTCTCAGGTGGGGTGTAACTGTAATTCCGCAAGGGAAAAATAAAACTTGGTTCAGACTCTGCGTCCCAAATGGAGATGCTGCCAGAATCCGATGAGCTTCTGTAGTTTGGGAAAAAAATAGCTGCAAAGTTGGTTCTGCTTTTCCCATTGATTTGCTCTCCCTCCCCTGCTCTCTGCCCCTTTTAACTGCTGGAGATCCCTTCTTTGATGTACCAGGGCTGCAGCTTTGTAAGGGAACAAGCTGCTTGAAAGAGCAACTCGGTGAAATGTCAAACAATGTCAAGCTCTTGTTAAATAAACTAGCTGTTGTAATTAGAATACAGATGGTATTTCTGGAGACCAAGCTGAAGGTTATTGAAATAAATACCTGGCTGGGAACTGTCTTAATTAAAAAGTCACAAGAAGGGGGTTTGCATTTAAGACCATGATCTTCCTTGCTTATTAGGGTCCTGATCCTGCCAAGTGCAGCATGCATCTGCCAACACAGTGCTGAGTACCCTAAACTCTCGCTGAAGTTTGAAGGCTGTTGATATGTCCCCAAGTCGGGTTGTACAAGGGAGAAGGCAGCATGCACCAGCACAAATACTCCTGGCCGTATGCCAACCTCCTGGTATCATGGTTGGGCTTTTTATGATAAAAGGGTATGATTTCAGATGTAACAAAATACAGGGCCCCTTTTTCCAATGCAAGAAAGTTGGTAAGAGACTGACTCACTAGGTCCCACCTAGGGATTGCATTGCTAATGAGAGCAGATCACAACAGCACAGCTGGTGACTAAGGCTGAAGTGGATGCCTGTGCGGTGTTTGTGTGAATCATGTACTTTAGCCACTGGAAAGCATGTTCTGTAATGGTTACAGCCGGGTTTGGGAGTCAGGACACCTGGGTACTATTCCCAGCACTAACCGGGAGTGTTGATAGTGGTCAGAGCAGACGCCCGTGAGGCCGCGTCTGGTGTTAGATGAGGGAAGCAGGGGTCCTGATTTCAGACCTCTGGGATATTTTCTAGTAGGTAGAGCAGGGATTTGAGAGACAGGTTTCCTGCCCTGGGAAGGAGTGGTTAGAGGCAGAGATTGCAGGGCAGGACCCCTGAACGCTATGCGATGCTTAGTGCTGCAGTTGTTCCCATTCCTCCTCCCTCACTGCCACTTGTTACCTCCGTTTACTGCATCCAGCGTAGTGTCTGTTAGGGGAAGATTGGTGATTTTCTGCCTGTACCATTATGCATCCACCCCATGTTTAGGTGCTGTCAGAATCTGCATACCAGCAAATACGTGACCCTGCTTTTCGCATCACCAGTGCCTCAGTTTACCCACAGTGAAGTGGGGGGGAGATTAATTTGTTTGGCTTTGTACAGCAGTGGGGATGATGGGCCCCTCTGCACTAGCTATTCTGGAAAGATTATAGCGCTACAGATCACTAGGTCTTGCTTAGGAGACTCCAGCTACCTGTTGCTGTTTGGCTGAGCCCAAAAAGTCATAATCCCTTGGCTAACATTTAAAGTGGGGAATGTGTCACAGAGTGAGGAGCCCTGGTGCTGTGGGTATCTGCGTTGTGTTCAATGGCAGGACAGAGTTCAGTCTCTCTCCCTTGCCTCCACAATCCCATTTCTCTTTCCATTTTCTCTTCTCCCTCCAGTCCCAAACTTTCCAGGCAGTAGCTTCGTAGTACCAATTGCAGTACCAAGGAATTAGGAGGTAGTGCCGAGGCTGGGTTAGTTCAGAGAAGACTTATTTGTCTGCTAGGAAGATGTGCAGGTCCACTGAAGGACATGGCAAAATTGCCTTAGTAGAGCTGGATGAAACATTGTGCAGTTAATTTTCCCACATCTTTGAATACTTAAACATTTTTTTTTCAAAATTCTGTGCATTTGCATGTGAGGTTTCATGTTTTTTACCCTGTGAAAACAAGCATTTTGGGCCCCTCCTCTCTGTGTCTGCCTCCCAGCCCCTCTCCCCTTCAAACATTTCCTTCTTTTTCATTTCATTCCATGAGATGAAAGAATGGGGGGGAGAGAAACAGGGAGGGAACAGAAACCTGAAAAATGATTCCAGCTTTTGTTATATTTTTTAAACTGGGAAACGTAAAAGAGAATTTTCCACCGTTAATTTCTTCAGCAAGAAGGGCATTTTTCATTAAACCCCCCCCAAAACAAACAAACAAACAAACTACCAGCGAAGGGGTTTGTCCAGCTTCATAGATAAGAATGTGGTCAAGTCTTTTTGGATCAACACACCACTTATTTCTCCATCACTGTCCCTAGCCCACATCTGGACAGGAGGTTTGGTACTTGGGATTGAAACATGGCTCCCAGCCTGTCCCACTGTATTTGGCTGTGGAGTTGGGGGGTTCTTGGATTCCAGAGAGACACGTTGTGGCCCAATTAACAGACTTTAAACACTGAGCTCCAGAAATACAACCAGCCAAAGAGCA